TGATGGATGCAAAGCGATGGAGACATAAACCAGGGTTGCAGGCATGGCAATCTACTCTGTACCTATGGGATGCTAAAAGAGATACCAAAATCTACCTTTCTAACAAGACAAGCAGTTTATTTTTTCTTTCAGTTTTGTATTTAAGAAACAAATGTATGTGCATCACTGCAGTTAATTTTCCTTTTCTCTTTGGGCCAAGAATCAGAGGTTTATGGTGGGAAGGAACTGACGGGATGCTGGGTTTGGATTTGGTGTTTTTCAGTTCAGTAGCCACTCATTTCTTCTGCCTGCAACCATCCATGTCATGGTGTACAAAACATCTCCAGAGAAGATGGAGCTGTCAGGCCTGGCTGGGGCTGGTCTTAGAGATTAATTAGTTCTGTGCCTAAACCAGCTGAACTAAGATGCAAAGTACAGCGGGAGCAGGGTGAGGACACAGCTTATTTCTGCTTTTGCTTAGGTTTGTTGCCATAAACTCAATTAAGTCTCTTCTGAAGTTAAATGTGAGGGTTTGGATGCTGGCGTGTTCTCCCTCTTGGGAGAACGCATCCTTGGGGACCCATGGGCAGGTCTGTGGACCACCGGCTGGAGATGTGCTGGTGACACCGGGGTCTGCCCTGTTCTTCTGCTCCTCGGTTTGGGGCCTGAGGTCAGCAATGCAAAAAGGCACAAGTGCACTGCTTTAAAAAGGGAGAGAGGAAAAGAATAAGTTAAATCAGAGGCCAGGTGCAAACTTGTCTTCAGAAACCCACTACATTAGGAAGAATTGTTGATGCTGTGAAGTGTTGTACCACTGCAGGTGGCCTCGCGCCACTCTGCATCCTAGGATGCAAAGCGACTCTGATGTCCTGATCTGTTCTGGATCCACCAGACAGCACTTTTAAAGACCTTGTGTGGGGTTTTCTGTTTGTTAGCTGGTTTTCTGTGGTTTTGAGCTTAATTAATCAGTAATGTCCTTAGGAAATGAGAGTCTTGCTGTGTTACTGCCTTGGTGACAGAAGAGCTGTGCCAAACCCCGCTGTCAGTGGCAGAGGGCAGGGGCTGAGGATGGAGGTAGGAGGTGCCGGGAGCTCTTTATCTGGGCAGGACACATGCACAGCTCCTACACAGCTTCATTTTGGGTTGCCTACTCCTCAAACACATCCTCTGACACTAATAGCAGTGTTTAGGTGATGTGGACCGATGAGTGGCCACCCAACATCAAGTCTCTGCACTGGGCTCCTGCCATTTGATTTTCTGCTGGAAACACTCGAGCTTTTCTTAAGCTGCTTCAACACACCCTTGAATCCCCATATCTCCTTTAAAATCAAGCCAAGGCCTTCCCTTCTGAACTGGCATGGCAGAGGTCAGTGGGAAAAGTAGGTCTTGCCCATGCTGAACCATCTTTTAGCACCTAGAGCTCTCCATCCTGAAGCTCATCACCTTTCCCTGGAGGTGATTTCAGCAAACCCTATGAAATGCTGTTGGAGAGCATCAGAAGAGCATCAGCATCAGCCAGTGCACTAAAAGCAAGTGGGACAACAACATTTTGGGGCAGAGCCTGGTTTCTGTGTTGCCACTTCTAAACCCAGGGCTAGAATTTAGTGTAAGGGACTGTGTTGGTCCCTCAGTGTGGTGCTGTGCATACAGAGCATCTCTTGGGCACTCAGGACTCTGCTGTCACCCAAGCTCCTGCTCAAAGGGAATTTGGGCTCATCCCAGATACACTTGAGATGTGACCCTGGAATGTGTGGCAGAGGAAGAGGTATTAAGCAAACCTCTATCTCTGCCTCCAGCGGGTAGCCTGGATCTCCCCTTTGCATCTTCTTCTTTTCAAATCCAGTTGGGAACTTGGCTGCTTTTAAACCGGGTGATGCTTCGGTGGCCTCGAGAGCAGCCGTTTCCATGGTAACTCAAAAGTACCTGGTTTTGCACAGTCATGGTTTTAGCGGGTCACAGATACAGATCCTGAGCAGGAGCCCCTGTGGCTGAGTTTGGTGTCACCATCCTGCACCTTCCTTGACCTCCCGGGTGCAAGAAAGCCAGGCAGGGTGTGCACGAGGCTGCAGGGTCACCCACGAGGCTGTTCTGTGCTGTGGGGCTTCTGTCTCCAGCCACATCTTTGCTGTTTGTGCTGGCACGACCCGGTGTTGGACTGCTCTCAGACTTCCTTACCGTAGAATCACAGACTGGTTTGTGTTGGAAGGGACCTTAAAGCTCATCCAGTTCCAACCCACTGCCATGGGCAGGGTCACCTTCTGCTAGACCAGGTTGCTCAAAGCTACATCCAACCTGGCTTTCTTCTCTCTTTTTGACTTCTGTGTGTTTTTCCATCATTATCAGAATGGGGATTTTCTTTCTTGATGGGCACTTTGAACTGGCCCAGTGAGAAGGATGCTGTGAAAAGGTGCCCCCTCTAATCTCAGCCTGCAAATCAGCATCACCCCCCGCTGCCCAGGGCGTTTGCTTTAGGGCATCTCCATGTGGCTGCTGAAGACTACATAGCTTGGGGGGCAGCTCTGGAAAAGCAACAGGAGAGTGGTTAAATCACAGCTTTTGGAGCTCCTCCAGAGCCAGGAGGAGGGAATGGAGGAATGAATTGAAATTCCCTTGAATATCAGTGCACTGGAGGGAGGGAGGATTAGTCCAGTTAGGGCAGAGCACTCGGGGTAATCCCGCTTTTCAATTAGGGATTTCACTGTCATTAATCTGATGTGAAAATAAATAGGGCAGAAGCTTAATGCCTTTGAGGGGGCTGCAGGCACATGGGAAGGCTGGAGGGGCTGAGCAGGGACAGGACCTTTCAGCCCAGACCTTTCCAGATGCGTCTCCTTGGGAAGGGTTCGGGGGTGAGGGAGGACAGGAGCATCCCTGGGAAATGCCTCATCATTTTGTGGTGGGGAAAAGCCTAAATTGTACATTTCTCCATTGCTGGAGCAGCAGGGGATGGAGCCAGCACGAGCCCAGGATCAGTGTCCCAGGTCAGGCTGGAGGAGCAAGGCTGGAGCAGCCAGCTGTGAGGCAGCACTCTCCTCTCCTCTGGGGGAAGCAGGAGACCTAATTCATCAGCATAATTATGTAGTTTTAAAGTTCAAAATCCACATGCTTTGATTTTTTTACTTAAAAAAACATCTGCAAGTATAATAAGTGAAATGAATGTGACTACAGGCACCCTGGGAATAGTGCGGGAGCACTGTTTACAGGGACTTCCACATGGATCCCAGCAAGAAATGCAAACGGCCACGGAGCTGGGATTTGTTTGGGTCTGGTGTGGGCTGTTTTCTCTCTGGAGCAGGATTACCACTCTGCTGCTAATCAGGCACAAGGGAAGGTGGTCCAAACAGCTCCTCAAGATGTCAAGAATCAGAAGGAGTCATTGAAGGAAGGGAGAAATCAAAATAAATCAATGTTGGTGTTTCAGTGATGCCCAAGTTCCAAAAGCTTCACCTGCTCCAGCTTCTCCTCCGTCACTAATGGGGTGACCTGGGGTTTTATCTGTGTATTTGATTTCATGCATTTCCATTTGAGACAAGTGGGTTTCCAAGTCTGACCTGTTCGGTCCCCAGCGTGGGTTCCAACATGTTCCCAGCTCTGAGTGTTCAAAGTAAAACCCTATCTAAAACTAGAGGGTTGGGTTCAGGTTTTAGAGAAACTGCAGGACCTGACCCCACTGATTTCTCCTTTTCCTTTTAATCTGGCTAAATGAGAATGTGTGTAGAAGCACCAAGAGTCTGCAGCTCTGCTCTTGCCTAATCTTATGCTGTGATAAATCTTCTGCTGAACTGATAAAATGCCAGATAAAACACTTGTAAAGGCAGGAGGGATAAATATGGTTGGGGTTTTTTTGCTGGGGTTTCCAAAGCAGGAGAGTTGTTGTTATCAGAAATAAGACAATGTCTATGTGCTTTTTCCTCCATGATGTCCTGCTCACATACCCTTGTATGTTTGAAAGCAAAAAGGTTTACTCACCCACAGATGTTTCCAATTCTTTTCCTAAGAACAATGCTCTCATTCATGCTTCATTTGCAAAACTCCTGTTTAGTTCCCCCACATCTTGATTGTTTTTAATAGTCAGACCAGCAGCAGTAATCATAAGCTCTGGGCCTGTTTCACACTGGTGCAAATCACTACTTATTACTGTGAAACTATTAATGTTTGTGCAGTAGAGCACTGGTGGGTCCTGTTAGAGAATGTAGTCTTGTTTTGGTGACTGGAGACATCCAACTTTGAGCCCTTTCTTTCCCTTTCAAAGCTTGTGCTGTGCACCCTGGGTCCTGGTTTACATCCTGTATCCCAACATTGGCCCTACCCACTTGTGCCACCAGCTTGGCTTTGCTTTGCCTTCATCCACAGTTGTGGATGAAGAGCTCAAAATGGACTCTTTAGCTCCTTGAGACTTAGAAAACAGGTAGGAATGAGACAACCTGCATTCAGCACCTATTCCCATGACTCGAGATGGAAACAAGGAGAGCAACCTCGCTGTTTGGAGCAAGGTACTGGGCACAGGCTGGTTTCTGCTGGTGATGGTGCCTGAATTACTCAGTCTTTCCTTGCTTTGTAGTGAAAGAGTTCATGATAGAGGATGTGTGGGGGTGATTTGCTGCTATAACTCTTGGAGATCTGGAGATGAAGGTTCTGTGGGAGCAGGACTGTGCAGGCATGCCCAGCGCTGTGCTCTCAGCTGCCCTGGGCATGCATGAAGAGTGGAAGAGAATGGAGTGAGGAGGGCTTCAGGTGGAAAGCGTAGCCATGCACCTTGGTGTGCTTCTCTGGCTTTGCTGCTGTGGAGGAAATGAAAGGCATCCTTTGTCCCTCCATCTCAACAGGAGTTTCCTTTCTAAGGCCCTCTCCTCAGTTGTGAAAACCTCCAAACCTTAGCAAATCTGGGATGTTTGTTGGTGTTTCTTCTTCGCTTGTGCGAGGAGTGGAGGCTTTTTGATGTGTAAATAGCACAAGTGCCTCAGCTTCCCCCCTCCCGATGGCCACTGAAGTGTGTGCTCTCCTTAACTCTCTCCTCTCACCTGGTTTGAGCACATCAGCATGCTGGTCATCCTCCTGAACTGCGTCACCCTGGGCATGTTCCAGCCCTGCGAGGACGTGGAGTGCCAGTCGGAGCGGTGCACCATCCTGGAGGTAAGGATTCCACGCTGCCCTGCCTGCCTGGGACGTGTGGGGGGCAGGGAGGTGGCCACCCTGGAGCCCCATCTTGTCCCTTCTTCCCAAAGCCCTTCCCATAGGAATGGTTTTTCCAATAAGCCACACTTTGGCGTGCAAAGCTTGTCCTCCAAGGAGACCTGCTGCCATGGCCCAAGGTGAGACCCAAAGGCTGATTTGGACTTACCCCAGCAAGATCCTTTCTCTATGCATTTAATAAGGGTTGGGATGCTCAAAACTGGGCATCCAGCTCCAATTGGAGATGTTGGATGCTTTTTACTTGCAGGATGGCCAATGCCACAGGGAACCTCTTGCTCACAGTCAGTTCCACCCCAACCAGCTTGGTGCTGGCATGTTTTTGATTGCTGCAGTCTGGCCTGTGCAAATACAGCACTGGAGACTTCGCCGTCTCATTCCCTTCTTCATGAACAAAACTGCATGGGATGAGCCCACGCCTGCTCTCCTCCAAAGCAGAGCCCACCAAGTAGCAGCATTGCCAGGATAACTACGTAACCAACCTTTGGGAAGTACCTACCCATACAAAACTCACAGAGCCTTGTTGGCCACCCCAAGCTCAGTGGGGCATCACGCTTATCACTTCATCCCTTGCTGCATCCTGGCAATCCCCTCGCTGCCATATGCCTGCAGGATTCATTTTGGAAGCACATCCCAGCAGCATCTGGTACGTGGGCTGCACCTTGGCACTGGGCTTCCTGCAGCAACCCTGTTCTGGGGCTTGGAACCAACTTCCCTTGTTCCTAATGCATTACGTCAACCTAAGCAGGGACTACCAGCATGTGGTAGTGTAGATCTGCTGCTTGACTTCCCTTTGAGTGTTTCAGGAAGGCCAGTAGGATCCTTCCAACTCTGCTGCCTCTTTCAAAGATTGGTCCAGAAGTGCCTGCAAAATGCCAGGAATAGCAGAGTTTATCATCAGAGCCTCTTTTAGCCTTTAAAGAGGATCTGCTAAATGCAGAGCCAAGTAAACCAGGTGAATTGAGGAGCCATTAGAGGTTTCTCATGGGATGAGATCAATTTTGGAGGCATCCAGCATTGGGATCATCTCAGAGGGTCAGGGTTGGTGTGAAGCAGCACCCAGAAGTAGCTGGTCCATCTCCTTCACCAGAAAATGTCACAGTGCTGGTACCTGTGGGCTAAACTGTCTCCAGAGAGCCCATCACAGAGTGTCTTATCGCTCCTGGAGGTGACACACCAAGTGCCTGCTGTTTTCCTGCAGGTATTCACCCACATGAGGCTTTGTTGGAGGATGCCCATCCCTGCCAAAATGTCCAGGCAGACAAAGGGAATCCTGCCTGGATGAGGAGGTGATGTTATTGAATGACGATTTGCTTCCTTTTCCCCCTGATTTGATCAGGTTGCAATCACATAGCTTCCATGGGCCGTTCTCCCCAGAACAGACACACATGGAATCCGTGAGGAGCCCAGGCACTGAATTTGGTTTCTAATACTGGCTGAATGAGTCCAATGCATTGAGTCCATTTGCAAAACCCCGTGTTCTCCTGATGGGTTTGCAGGCAGAAACAGGCTGCAAGTAAAGCCATCATTATCCCTCAGCCTCCCACAGCTTCCAGGCAGGAATGGAAGCCAGAACATGAGGTAGAAAAGCCTGAACTTCTTTATGGAGGCTTTTGGATGCCAGGTATTAAATGAACTGAAATAACAGAGCAAAACTTCTGTGTTAGTGTATCAAGGGCAAGGTTGGTTGATAAAGCCAACAGCCAGAGGAGGTGGTGCTCGCACACAGCCACACAGAGCTGCATGGATGCACAGTGGGAACTTGGCTGCCATGTGGATGTTCTGTTGATTTTACCAGTAATCCACCCAGGCCTCATTGTGGAAGTGCCAGCCACAATACCAAACAGTATGGTCCTTGTGGACATGGTTTGGACAGCAGCAGTCACGGCTGTAGAGCGAGAAGTTCCTGTGCTTTATCAAGTCTGTCATTGGAAACAGCAAAGCCTCTTGCACATGATTTAAAAGCAATCTGTATCTCCTGATGTTCAAGTTTACAGGCAACATGTAGAAGAGTCTTTACAACAAAGTCCACTTCATGGCATCTTCAAGTACCGTCCACATTTTGTGCAGGAACCTTCTGGAATCTCCAGAAGGCTGGAGAAATCCCAGCTGTCCAAGTCCCCACTACCCTACAGAAGCCATTCTTGAAGTCATGTTCTATGGGGCAGCAATGGATTAATTGAATTTTATTTTCTCTCCTTGCTTTCATAGTAATCTAAACCCCTAAATTTTGACCTTCATCAAGAGGCTCCAGCACTGGGTACCCAGGTTTGCCAGCAGGATGCCCTGAGCCTTTGCACCATGGGCAACCACTCCAGCCATTCCCCATGTGCAGCAGAACTGCCCTTACAGTTACTGCTACAACCTCTCTTGGTGCGCACATTCACAGCCAGCAGTGTTTGGGTCTGCGGGTAGGAACCTGGTCCCTGAAGGCATCAGAGGTGAAGCACTCTGAGTCCCCCTGTGTTAGATGGGCCAAATTCTCTCTAGGAGCTACTGAGCCACCCAGTCTGGAAACACAGCTCCCACTGCAGGTTGCTGAGACCTAGGACCCAACCACAATGTATAGGCTTTAAATGCCAGGAAAAATATCCAGCCTGTACAACAGTGATGTCTTTCTGTCTTTGTCAGTACATTAACAGAAGCTGTTAATGCTTCCCAAGCAGTGGAAGGACCCCAGAGCTATGCCCAGGGGTTGCCATCACCTATCAGGTATTGCAGGTTTTATATCTGAGTTGGGGAGGTGTCATTTTGGTACCAGTGCTTTGCCTTGCAACGTCTGCTGGGTACACAGAGTGCCTCTGCAGTGGGAGCACCCGTGTCTCTGCTTCCCCTTTCCCTGCTAAGATTGCACAGCAGAACTGACTGTAATAATCTTTTACTGCTCTCCAGGCATTTGACGACTTCATTTTCGCTTTCTTTGCGGTGGAGATGGTCATCAAGATGGTGGCTCTGGGGATCTTCGGGCAGAAGTGTTACCTTGGAGATACATGGAATCGTCTGGACTTCTTCATCGTGATGGCGGGGTCAGTAACAAAACCTCATATATTTCTTCTTTGTCTTGAAAGCAAGAAAACCCCAGAGAGCCAAATCTGTGGGTTGTCCTGGCTGCTTTTCCTAATGTCTTGTGAAAGCTGCCGGGCTCAAGCCAAGGCAAAGCCTCATAAGTCTCATTTGGTTTCACCTCTGGCAACCACACTGGATTATGGGGTGGGGTATGAATGTCAGGACAAAAGCCATGGGGTATTCAGTAGCAATCCTTTTGCCAGTGTTGTCTCTGTCAAATCAAGAGCATGCTGATCTAGTCTGTTTGATGCCCACAGTGTCCCAGTGCTAGTGGTTAAGCCTGCTGCCTGCAGGATGAGCAGAAAAGCACACAGCAGCTCAGCCCAGCTCCTCCTAGGTAACACCATGAGAGTGAGGCAGAGAGGCAGAAATCGGCCAAACAAGGAGAATGTAGCCAAAAAACCTGGTTCAGAAGGTTGAGATCCTGATGGAAGAAGCTGGCCAGAACTTGACCCAAATGACAAGTGCATGCAGATGCCTCCTGGAAACGTCTCTTGGTTTAACACCATCCCCTACAGCTGCTTATTTGTGCAGGATGTGTTAACAGATACGAGGAAGAGCTGCGTGCTTTTGACACCAGTTCCCTCGCACCCAAGGGAGAAACTGAATGGACTAAAAGCTTGGCAAGTCTAAAACTTTATTCTATAAATAAATGTGTTTTAGGAACCCCAGACTCTCTTACCTGCTTAGCATACCCTAGGAAGGGCTAGACTGCTTTAATTATAGAGCTCTGCCTTATTTCTCTCTCCCTGGCTTTATAATGACCAGCCTGGGGTTAATTAGAACATTCCTGTAATATGCTGGGGCATTTTTACCCTTACATTAGTGATGTACAGTCTTCATTGCACTAATGGAGTTTTGTTTTGCTCCGTGTTATTTGTCCACAATACAATTAGGAATGGCCTTACTACTTTGAATAAAACATGAGCTCTCCTGAGCAGAGCTTCCTTTGAACCCAAGTGTGGTGTAACCAGGAAAGAACAGCAGGAACAACAGAAACAGCAGTTAATTATTTCTTCTTTCCAAAGCTTTGCTGCAGTGTTTAAGCCAGAAATAGTAGGAGAAGAGGAAGGCTGTGGTTACAGCTTGGGATCAGATGTCTGCCATCCATAACCAGTGTGCAGACAGTGTTTCTCCATGCTGAACCTGCAGGATGAGCTCTCCTGATGGGCAAGAAGAAGTTCCCCACATCATCAAACAGGAGAATAAAATAGCACATGGAGGCAGAAAGGCTGAGCCCTCTGCTCATTCCTCAGCAGCAGGTTTGGCACCAGGATCTTTGTTCATGTCGCACTTGGGACAAGAGGGAAGGTGGCTGGATGTCCATCTTGTAGTTTTCCAAGGAAAACTGTGGCTGGCATAGTCTGAGAATGAAAACAGCAGAAGCACCAGAAGACCCAGATGGGAAGCCCTGCTGCCAGTCTGGCATTGCTCAGGCTGAAGATGAGAAGAGGAACGGCCCTTTTCTGGATGATCCTGGACCATCTCCAGATGATTTTGGTGTATTAGAGCCATACCATTATTTCCCATCTCTCAGAAGAGAGTTTGGTCTGGGAGCTGGGCTGGCTGGTAACACCCATAGAGGGCAAGAAGCAGCTGTGCAACAGGCTGTGGTTCTTCACCTCTCCCACCACCTCTGATCCAGCATCTGCTCCTAAAACTGGAGGTGGTTTTAGGCAGGGAGCACGCTACTAGAATAACAAGAGCTGCTTTTGCCAGCAAGTGGATGGATGTGATGAAGTTACTATGAAGTTTGCTCTGATAAGAAGGGAAACAAGTGATAGGCAGTGCTGCCTGCTTGGTTTGTCCTGTCTGGTCTCCTCAAATAAGCTGGTTTGGCTTACCAGCATGTATAGCAAGGAGAGCAGAGGGTAAGCAGGGAAACTACAAAACAAACATATCTTTTGCCTCTAGCAACAGCTTGTGTCTGAAGTTTGTTCCAGCACTGAAAGCCCTTTCATGTTTTGCTCGCCTCAGAAATGTACTCTGGACAATTTCAGACCAAATGGAGCTTACAACCTTTAGGTCTGTCCAGCAGCCAAGTTGAAAGCATTTCCCAAGCATCAAAAATGGTGTCCTCAAGAGCTGAAACCAAAGAGGTTTCCTGTGCACCCAGTCCCTGGAGACGTTGCAGCCTCATGTGATATGCTTTGGACACCTTTAACTTGACAGCTAAAGGACTGGAAACTGTTCATGGCAGAAGACATTGCAAAGGCTTGTGCCTCCTTTGTGTTCAGTACCTAGAGGTTGTAGGGAATCGCCTATCGAGTGTTAGTCCACCCAGACCTCCTGTCCCTCCATACCCAAAATTTCCAGCTCCAGCAGGTTTCTGTTGGGCATTTCAAGGGAATTCTTGGTTTACAAGTGTGATATAAGAACATTTTCATGAAGGTTTCAGACTGCTCATAGAAGGTCCAAGGTGGAATCTATCAAGTGCTTCAGGTTGGCTTTGGTGGGCAGTGTATATCTTCCCGAGACTTACTTTCACATCCTAAATGGAATATCATGAAAATCCAAAGTATGAGGGTCAGATAGTTGGTTTGTTGGTTTCCTAGGTCAAATCCTGCATTTTTCTTCTTTTATCAGCCCCATTGAAACTCCAAAGGCCAAGTAAAAGTGAGGCCCCAGGATATCACCCTTTAACATGCCAATGGTTTCATGTGCTCCCTGGAGTACAAAACCAGCTCCCACTGGAGCATTTCGTACTCCTTTTACATCATATTAGTAGTTCAAAACTTGTATCAGTTACACTAAAATCCACTTACTCAGCCACCCAATGCACTGTGAGTGTGCTGTGCTGGGACCACACTAGTGAGCACATTCAAGCTTCACACTATTCACATCAGGGGCTTTAAACAATGCTCTGTGTATCCGTGCAAGGTCTGTTCAGAGCAGACACCTGGTGCTGGCTCCAGGCCCCTTGGTGCAGGTGTGAATGGGCATTTCCGATGGCTTTCCCGCTGTGTGGTCCTTCCTGCAGCTCCGGGCTGCTTCCCACTGCTCTGCTCTGGCTGCTTAATGAACACACGTTAGATTTAAAACCTGGGTTTGTGCCGTGCTGAGTTTTAAAGCTATTCATCGTGTTCAGCTCAGTTCCTGTGTGTGAGCTTGAAGGTGGTTTTGATTTATAAAGACTCACTAACTTCTTCAGGAATAACAAATATCTTTGGAAGGCTATTGCCAAAACCAGCTCAAAATCAGCAGGCAAATTAAAGCTGACAGGCCAAAGTCACCTCAGTGCAATGCCAGTGATACCAAACCAGCTTCAGGACAAAGACAAAAGTTAAGCAAACATCAGATATTTCCAACTAAACTTCACAGAGCAGGGCAAGGCATCAAATACAAAGTACAAGGCTCCAGCAGAGCAGGGGCACATGAGCAATGATGCACCTGAGCAAGGTTGGTCCCAAACCAAATCTCCCTTTCCTGTTGCCTGAAACCCATCCAGCTGTTGCTTCAGTCCATTTGGTGGTTGCTTGTTAATAGTACGTAATGATTTTGGTCCATCCTGGCTGCAGGATGCTTCAAATCTCTCCACTGAAGCTTCTGAAGAGCCTGGTTGAAGAATTCATCTTGTATTTGCCTTCCTCTTTCCATATCTGTTTGTGTATTAACAAAACCCGACAAAACAAAAGCTCTTTCTCCATGGGATCCAACAGCTTGCTCACAGGGTTGCTTTTGATGCCCTTATGTTATTTGAACAGGCGTGGTGAGAGATTTGTGACATATTTACAAGTGCTTCCCTCTAGTCAAACTCATAAATTGTAATTACAGCCATGCTAACTAGGCATAACCCCATTAAAAACCCAACACTACACACATTTGCCACTCAGTGCTATAAAAGAGCAAGAAAACTGACTTGACTTAACATCCTTCCCAGCCTGGAAGAGAAATGTTTATGTGAAATGGAGACGGAGCATGGAAAAGAAAATGTTCCGTATTCTTAATAATAAAATGGAAACCAAATTGCTTTAACATCATTTGTTGGCTTGGTTATTCACATTTTTTGTCATAGAGGGAGAGATAAGCTGGCATGAAAGTACACTGGGGTGCTAGTGGGGGGTATAATAGCAGAAACATCTAATTGACTTTGAGCTGCATAGAGTTGTGCAGTGGGAAGGCTGCAGATGTACCACTGGCTGGAGCACTATAAGCTAATGGGAAGGGAGAGCAGCACGGCTGCAGAAGCTGAGCAGGTAGCTGGGGGCTCCCATCTGCCCTGATTTCTGTTGCCCTCACTTTGCAACTCCTTGTGCTTTCTGGTGTGTTACCTGTGCCTGCGGCCCATTGGGAGCACATCCACACCGTCGCTGCTCATGGGGGTGTTTTCTCTTAGGGGTTGAAAGAGTCCTTATATCCCCCATTGAGAGCATGATGCACATTATGGGCTGCAAATACAGACTGGGTGGTTTTAAAGCCTGGGCATGCAGGCAGCCCCAGAACCCTCATGCCCAGGGACCGAGCATCTCACATCTGACACCTTTTCTCTTTCCCCTGCAGCATGATGGAGTATTCTCTGGACGGACACAACGTGAGCTTGTCTGCGATCCGCACCGTCCGGGTTCTTCGGCCGCTACGAGCCATTAACAGGGTCCCAAGTAAGTAATGCCTTTGTCTGCAGCTCGGGCTCTGCCTGGAAAGCCACCCCAGCCAGCAATCTGTGTGCTAAGCCTTGCAGTAGTATTCTGTTCTCTTGCTGCTGAGAGCAAGTTCATTGATTTTAGTGGCAAGTTGAAGATCATTTATGATGATTATCAGGGTTAGTAAAGGGCAAGGGAGTAGATTTTATACCTGGATGACCACATTTTCATGGCTGTTTTCCAGCATTTTGTGAACTCTGAGGCAAATAACTCTGCTCGTAGTGCAAAGAAAATAACAAAGGTCCTATAAAGAAAGGGGAAGGGTCAGTTCAAAGAAGGATCTTCTTGCCCTGGATGGCTTCATTTTCCCCTCTTGGCTCTTTAAGGTCTTTCCCTTTCTTTGTGTTCAGGATTAGAAGCACAACAGCCTCCATTGCTGCTAAAATACCACAGAGGGTTTGTTGTCCTGTAGAACAAAATTGGGTTCATCCATGAGAGTAAGTTCAGGTGACCCCTAAATCCATTTTCAAGTGGCTTCAGCTGCTTGGCTTCTAAATCCAGTTTGAAAGACCAACCAACAAGGTTGAAATCGTTTCCGGCTGGAATCAGCTGTCAGCCAAAAAATCCTTTGCAAGGTACTAATTTCATAGCACTTTTGCCATTTTTTAACCAAAATCCACTCGATTTGAACTGCAGCAGCATTGTATGGGAATCATAGAGGTTCCTTGCAAACAAAGGTACACATTTATTGGTCTTTTCAAAAGCACATTTGAATGCCATAGCACTGATTTGTCCTCGCTAAGCATCCTGCCTGGATAAACTGCCTGTCATGTCTGCACATCTAGGGACAGCAAAACCAGCTCCCCCAGAAGGGTTTTGGTTCCAGTGCCTCAGATGAACATGCAGTGGAATAGATGGAATTTTACACACAGGACTCTTTGAAGTTTCTTTCTGAGTTATATTCTTCAGGATTTTTCTTTAAAAGAAAACATTAATAATCTATAGAGTTCTCAGTGACATTAGAAGTTTAAAACAAGACCAAAAGAAACGAGAGGCTAAAAGGGACCATGAAACCCTCCAGAGCTTTGTTTTTCCTAGTGAGGTTTGGTTACCAGGGTTTCGGAGCAGCCCGAAAGCACAACAAAGTTTTCTGCTGGGATTTTGAGCACAGTGGCTCTGTGTCCTCACTGGGATGGAAGGAGCAGAGGGATGCTGGCACATGCTTGGCTCAGAGCCCTGCTGAGGTTTCAGACTGGGGCGAGGATCAGGCTCTCTCTGAAGCTATTTAAATCCATGAAGCTCTTTATAGCTCTCCCTTGAAATAGTGGGAATGTCAAGCTGAGATTCAGCTGGGCTGAGAGCAGAAGCTGGGGGAGTTGTGGATTTACATGCCTATTAAACCAAGGCCCAGGGATCCCAACACCTCCATGTCTGGGTGAAATCTTGATCTGGGTCCAGCTTGTGTTCTTCTTCCTTAGGAGTCTGATACTCAAGTTTTCAAGTAAGCTTTTTAGGCCGTCCTCTGCTGTACTTGACACTTCACTTCTTACGTTTCTTTCAAAGGATAGGCAATAGAAAATACTCAATTTTTTGTTAATGGTATGTGAGATTAAAGCCAATGAACCCAAGCCATGTTTGGAGTTGAGTTGCCTGGCTTAAGGAGCAGCCAGGCTGGTCTTATACCCCTACCAGCATCTTGAACAAGAGCCAAGGCAGGATTAGTATTCTTAGAAACACCTCAGTTCCTAGAGGGCAGATAATCACAGACTTCACTTGTTTATGAGACACTAACTCCATCCACTTTTAACACCAATACTTTTACTGTTTCAGACTGAGATAATCCAGGGTCTGCAGAGAATGGATAGTGACAGCCCTCTGTTGAGTTGTATTTTGCTGTTTCCAGTAATAACAGAGTTACATTTCTAGTCTTTCATCCATCAGGATGCTATAGCTTAGCCAGGGATTTCCTTGGACATCCACCCCATCCCAGCATGGCAGCAGGTCCCGCTCAGCCCCATCCATGCTATCCCCAGCAGCAGAACAGTGATGCTCTCCCAGCCACCACACCACTGGCAGGAGCAGGGGTTTTGGCTCAGTGGCAGTCACAAAAAGCCATGGAGCAGATAGGAATGATGGCTGGGTCAGAAGAGAGGAGCCCGTTGTTCAGTCCCAGCACAGGGGAAGCAGGGACCCATGAGGAATAGCCTCACGATTTCTCCCTGTGATGTCTGGGCACTTTCCTGGGTTCCAGCCAGCACTATTAGCTCTTTGCTTCCAGGCACAATAAATTCACCAGCAAGATTATTTCATTTTTACTTTGTTTGTTAAGAAAAGAAAGGAGAACCCTGGCCAATGAAAACATCATCTCTATTAGAAATTATTCCTTGAAAATGACTGGAAAATGTAATTCCTGTGATTTATATGTTTGGCAGAGGCTGTAGTTATGGAGGTTTTTTAATAATGGTCACTGGGTTTTTTCAAATCCATTTCACTGCTTTATTTTGATTTTTCTACTATGTGCTTTAAACCAGACATCACATGGAATGGGAGCGAAGAGAAATCCTGGTCCTTGTTTCAGCCCAACCAATGCTCGTGCTCTTTTCCCATGGCACACTGCTGGGAGCCCAGAGCACCCTCAGTGGGTAGAGAACAGATGGATTCAATCTCGAGGATGGTGCCACTAAACAACCCAAAATACCGAAAGCAGCTGAGCAGAAAACAGTTGTTTGGCACAAGGAGATAAATTTTAACCGTTTTGGGGGAAAAAAAGAGTGAGGATATTAGTGTGAGGGGGAAAAAAAAGAAGAAATGCCCAGCATTGTCTTTCCAGTGGGAATTAAGTGTGTCTTTTCTGCTTTTCCGAAGATAGATTTGCCAAAGAAAGCCTTGCAAATTGCTGTGGGGCGTTGCTGTGGGATGTGCTCCTGGGGGGGCTCACGATGACAGCACATGTTGGGAACAAGTGTTACAAACCCAAACTCCTATTTGCCTCCAGATCTGGGATTCCTCTTGCACTTGGAGCAGTGGCCGGTGCTGTCCCCATGGCTGGCACCGGCATTGCGGTTACAGAGGGTGGCAGAGATGCCAGCATCCTGTGCTTGACAACATACACTCATTGCCAGCACCATGTCCCTTCCCTGCAGGGTGGCTTTAGCACGGGGTGGCACGGGGACAGGGTTTGGAGGGCAGCCGGCGGCGCTGGCACAGGGCTGGGCGCCGGGATCGTGGCTCCTCCGGAGAGGCATCCACTGCTGGCGCACGCGCCGGAGCCAAGATGCATCTGGGCATAGAGACCTTGACAGGCTCTTGCCCTGGGATGCAGAGGTTATTACTCACACCTCATTATTTATTAGCACAGACTTCTTGGCCAGGGTGGTTCACTCGTGCCACTCTGACAAGGTAATGTCAGCTCCGGCCCTGCTTGGCTGGGCTGCATTTCCGCTGGCACAGCAACACGAGGAAAGGGGTAATGCGGTGTGACGGGGCTCCAGATCCTGCCAGCGTTGCTGCTGCAGCCTGGGAGGTGCCAGCTTGGATTGGCACTTCTCTCCTGGAGACCCTGCTCCTTCCAGCACCCAGCCCTGGGGTTCACAGGTGCCAGGCTGCAGCCCAGCATCATCATTGATTTAGCAGAAGAGGCATGAGGCATGACTGGGGAGCTGGCTGAGGGAAGAAGCCAATGTGGATATGGGTGAGGGAAGAGAGATTGCATCAGTGTAAATGCCACTCTCCATTCAGACGGGTGACTGATATCGAGCAGCATCCTGCCAGGGGAAATGGAGGGAGAAAAGGCTCCACACAGGCAGGAAAAGGTGTTTACAGAGCAGAAATTTAGTGGGATAAAATGCCTCCAAAGGCGGTAGTGTCACCCTATCCAGCAGCCGCATTGATTTCCACTGTGCCATAAACATGAGCCCTGCTCTCTGGGGAGCACCGTCTCCCGAGGCTTGATTTCTGGCTTTTGTCTTTCCTATGATTTAACATTTGTCTTTGTCTCTTCCTCTTTTCATTAGTCTTCCTCTCATCAATTATCAGCTGTTGAAATGATGGCTGGTCAGTGCCTCAGAGATTTATTTAACCTCTATTGAACTGCTGAGCTGCAAGTCATTATTCCCTCTTTATTCCTGCTTTATCCTTGGGTTGGAAGGTGCCCTCATGTGTGAGCCAGGGCAGCCCCGGGTGCCAGCCCAGTCCCAGCCTCCTTGTCCATTCTGCCCTGGACTCATTCCTCAAGCTTTTTATTTAGGGTGGAAAAGCATGCCCAGAAATCAGCATTACCCTGGCAGAGCCTGTGCTCTGCCTGCAGGTTCATGGGGAGGTGTGGGACCAGCTGGGAAGCTTGCACAGGAGGAGGGGAAAGGAGCAGAGCTGAGGGTTTTCCTTAGAGGAAGAAATATTTGCATCCTGTTTTCCCCCCTTGAACAGCCAAAATTTCCCCTGCCTCCCCTGCTTGGCAGTCCCATGGCCAGCACAGAGGGGAGTCCTCCATAGAAGAGGAGCTGTCCATGGAGGAGGCGCAGAGTAGCTGCAGTGGTCATCCTACACAAGGCTCTGTATTGTTTAGGGGAACAATGTGTGGTTCATGAGAGATGTTCAGTATGTTTATAAATCTGTATTTTGATGATTTCTCAGAAGGGTGGTGGTTTGTGGGGGTGTTCCTCCAGGAAAGGCTGTTCTTCAGCTTTGCACAGGTTTGTGTGGATCCCTGTTATTGAGAACATCTGAAAATCCCACCCTTAAATCCACCCTTTGGAGATACCCTGTTCCCATTTGCTGCTAAGCCTTTTGCACTCTTTACCTTCCTTAAGGTTTAAGGGAAAAAACAAACATCCCAGTTCCTCTGCCCAAGACACACTACCAAGCTGGGAATGGTGTGGCATTCACATTCTCCCCATCAAAGGACTTCTCTAACCTGTTTTCTCCTTCTCCACACAGGTATGCGAATACTCGTCACCCTGCTGTTAGATACTCTGCCTATGTTAGGCAACGTCCTCCTCTTGTGCTTCTTTGTCTTCTTCATCTTTGGGATTGTCGGTGTGCAGCTCTGGGCAGGGCTGCTGAGGAACAGATGCTTCCTAGACAGGAATTTTGCAATGTAAGTACAGCAAAAATATCTCCACCTTTCCCTGTTTTCTCTCTCTCCCCATCCGGTGGGATTGCAGGAGCATCCCGCAATGGCAGATCTTAACTGGGCTGTCATCTTGATTCACAAGGTTCATAGAATCATAGGATGGTTTGGCTTGGAAGGGACCTTAAAGCTCATCCAGTTCCAACACCCTGCCACAGGCAGGGACACCTTCCACTAGAGCAGGTTGCTCCAAGCCCGTGTGTCCAACCTGGCCTTGGACACTGCCAGGGAGGCTGCTGGATACAGAACTCCAAGTGTGGAGTTTTTGGTGGGTTTTGTCTGTAAAAACCCACACTTGTCAGCAAGGTAGTGAGGGTTGGAAGTGCCTTTGCCATGTTTTCCCTCTGTACCTGAAGAAAAAGGATGTCTGTGGTTTGGATTATCTCTGCCTGAGGAAGCTGAGGTCCCTGACTTGGGGATTTGAAGGATTTAGAACAAACAAAAGCATTACAACTTTCCTAAAATGGCCAGTTCCCAAAACTGTAGAGGTCTGAGAGGTCACCCAGCACACCACAGCACCTGGCAGGTACAGACAGTACCATGGAGATGCTGCTGAAACACACACATAAATCTTTGGAGGTGTGTTAAGAAGCTTGATGTGAAAGACATTAAGGACATCTGTGCATCACTCTCAGTCTGGGACAGGCATTAGGGATGGGCAGCACATTTAATCACCTGCTCTTTTTGATGCAAACTTTAGCTAGGTAGTTGCATGGACCAGCATCCCTTAGCACCTTAGCCAGGTGCTAAAGGTGCTAATAGGTGTTAGTTGTCCTGATGAGCCTCATCTGAGACCCATACCCTACCCATAGCCCAGGAGCTCTATTTAAGCTCAGCCAGTGGCTCTCAGCCCTGGTTTAGAGCTGGGCTGTTGATGGATCTGTCTCCTGCTCTGTGTTCCTTGGATGAGTCCTGCATCTGGTTCATCACTTGCTGTGTCTGGGGCTTTGGGTGGACCCTGCTGTCAGTCCTGGGCTCTGCCTGCTCTGTTCAGGCTCTGTCCATGAAGGAGTTGCTGGTACTGGGATGTCTTTTGGCTCCTGGCTCATTCCCTCCTGTGGGGCAGGCTCACTCTTGCTGCTGCTCAGTAGTCCCTCAGTGTGATACTGAGCTTGGGCTCTTTTGCACTTACCCCTTCATACAATGTAAGGGCACACCTTAAAACCCATCAGCACAACAAAAAGATCAAAGCCAAGTGCAACCTGCAAGCTTCCACGGAAAAGGGAGCTTTGTGTGGGAAAACCCTTCCAAAGGGCTCCTGTCGGAGACTGCTGAAGATGTCAGTGGCTCAGAGGTGAGGAAATGCCTGAGATCAGCTAATCAGGGCAACTCTAGCTCTGTAAGAGAAGATAGAGCCTGTAATTATATCTGTTTGTAATCATCTGCTGTCTGCAACTTGTATTGTGTCTGGAAGACAAGCAGAGATTATCCCTCAGTTCCTACCCCAGGTCCTGTTCCTGCTTCTTGCTGATTACTCCTGATGGCTTTCAGCTCTCTGAGCCTTTCTCTGTGCTGCAGCCCATCTCTGATGGCACTTACTCATCCCATCAGAGGTGCTGAAGGGCAGAAAATCGATGAGTCTGCCATGTGTGTATGCTTCTGCTCCTGCATCTTGATGCTCCACCCTTGCAAGCTATCTCCTGCATGCACAGCAGGTATTTGCTGGTCACCAAGACCCTCGTCACTCAAAGTAACTCCTGAGCTGTCATTTAAAAGCCTAAGAATAGTGTTAAAGCTGTGCTCATGTGGTCCTGTTGCATGGGGCAGGCAGTGCTTTGAGCAGGAGTGCAAAGCTGTAATTAGCTTCAGTGAGTCCCTCTCATCTCTTTGACCAGGCTTCTGAAATGCTCTGTGATTCCTGCAAAGTGGAGCTTTTAAAATTAACCACGGGGGAAGCACTTGCTAAGTACAGATATTAAACAGGCCCTTATGTAATGGCCATTAGCAGCATCAAAGGCATCACAGGATTTTATTATCAGGGTCTTGGTCCCAGTCACAGAAGGCAAAGTCAGGCTCCTTGTGCTGAGCCCCAGGAGCTGTGCTTGAAAAGGTAGGAGGTTTGTAAGAGATGGTTTCCTTCACATCTCACTGCAGCTCTGTGCTGGTTCCTGGGTCCCCTCCAGCTGCAGGCAGTGGTCAGTTTGGTTGGCTATAGGCTATGGATTGCCCATGCCCAAGTCCTGATGCCACGTGCTCAGAGATACTGTGAGCAAAGTTACAACATTCCAGAGGAATTGGGAGAAATGAGCTCCTGGGATGGTCATGGGGCAGCTTTCTTGCAGGACAGGGCTACTTCAGCTCTGCTGGTGCCAGTACCAGCATAACAAATGTGGGTTGTTCTGGTACCACCACTGACTGAAACTACTGTCTTGGGCTGTGGTTTGGTGGGTTAGCTTTAGACCTGAGAAATCTGGCTGCAATGAACCAGTCCCTCCACTTCCAACTAGAAGCTATCCCATGTTGACTGGAGCTTGATGTGGAAGTTTTGGGAATCAAGATGGAATTATTCCCATATTTTTTTGGCATTCCT